TTTTTTTTTTCCTCAGGCCCCGGTCCCAGGCACCCACTCACTGGTCCTGCTGCCCTGCCTCCCTAGCACCGGGGTCCCTGTCCCTTCAAGGCTTCCAAGAAGCACCCGCCCACCGGTCCCACAAGGAAAAACGCGCGATATTCTTTGTCTTCAGGCGCTGGTCTTAGGCACCCGCTCACCAGTCCTGACGCTCTGCCTCCCTAGCACCGGGGTCCCTGTCCCTTTAAGCCTTCCAAAAAGCACTCCCCAAAAAGAAAAAAAAAGGGGGGGGGGAAATGCGCGATTTCCTCCGTCCTCAGGTGCCGTTCTCAGGCACCCGCCCACCGGTCCCGCAGGGAAAAACGCGCGATAATCTTTGTCCTCAGGCGCCAGTCCCAGGCACCCGCTCACCGGTCCCGCCGCCCTGCCTCCCTAGCAACGGGGTCCCTGTCCCTTTAAGGCTCCCAAAAAGCACTCGCCAAAAAAAAACCGCTCCGGTTTCTTTCCACCCACCGGGAGCCGGGGGGAGGGGCACTCGGGTCCCGCCGGGCCAGGGCTTGTATCTTACCCCTTTCGCGAGGCACTGGGTTCTTGCAGGTGTGGATGTGGTCTGGATGTTGTCCTGTGTCCTCTGGTCTCTATTTTAGGAAGAGTTTTGTTTGTTATATTTTCATTGCTCTATGTGTTTTTCGGAGGAGATTTCCACTGCTCTACTCACTCCGCCATCCTGGCTCTGTCTCCCAAGGTGACTTTATTTTTTGTTTCAGTTTTTTTGAAGAATCATCTTCCCAAGGATGGGGGAAAATAGTTGCACAATATATTCATGATCAGTGGGTCTGCCTATCTTTCCTGTTGAAAAAATATCACACCCTTATACCAACCTCAGAGGGTGAAATTCTGGAACCCATTCTACCTGCTGTTCACATGCCAATGAGGACACTGCAGTCTGCACTAGAGGCCCTCACAATCCTTCCTTCTGATCAAGTTTTGCCTGTGTTCCATTGCATGAAAATTTTGGTTCCCAAGGTAAGTTATTGTGAGACATGAATTGAAGAATAATTACAGGAACAGAAATGAGTTTCTGAAATTAAGTGATAATTATGTATTTCTTTTTTTCTGCCTATTAGCTTCTGACTTCCTGTGAATCACTCTGCATAGAGGCTTTTGACATGGCTTGGAAAATTCTATCTACTTTAAGCAACACTCAGCTGATATTCTGGTCTAATTTAAAAGCTTTTGTCCAGTTTGCTTTTGATACCAAAGTTCTTACCATTGCTGCAAAAATCAAGGGCCAGGCATATTTCAAAATAAAAGAGGTAACTTTTTAAAAATTGGGGTAAAAAAACATAAAACATAAAATTTACCATCTTAACTACTTTTAAGGGTACAATTTGATATTGTTAAGTATATTCACATTGTTCTAACAGATCTCCATAACTTTCATATCTTGGGAACCAGAACTCTGTATGCATTAAACACTTCCATCCCCTTAGCTTCTCCCTCCCCTGATCCCTTGGTATCCATCATTCTACTTTCTGTTTCTATTAAATTGACTACTTTAAATGAAAGGAGGTAGCTTTTATTTTCTTTCTAAGTGGAGAGTTATATTTGTAACTACATATTAGATTGGTTGTTATTTATTCATTCAGTCAGTAATTATTTTGAACCTGTTTCAATGTCATGAGTAAAGAACAAGAAAATCTATTAGTTGTAAAAGAGTAGCTGCAAAATGGTAACCCATGAACCACATCTGCCTCACAAATGTATTTTATTTGGTTCATATAATGTTTAAAATGAAAATTAGTTGCTTTCAAGAATTTGGAAACTTGCATGAAAATCTGTATTTCCCCTCTGTTGGAATCTTGGAAAACCAGGTGACCAGGAAATGCCAGTCATTCCTACATGACAGCAGTGTCCTGGCCCTGAGTAGGAGCTAGTCTTTCCAGATGAGATATATCCTCTCCACTTCACTCCACAACCATTCCTTGATTTGTCCTGGATACTGAAGGCAAACAGGCACCATTTGTCATTGCATTTATGCTGTTGCTTTTCCTGAATAGACAAATATTTCTCTGAATATAACTTCATGAAAAGGTCTTTTTGGTTTCTGGAGGGTTTGTGTTTATAACCATTCATATGTAGAAGGGAAACATGGCGTGATGGAGTGACATCCTGCCTAGGAATTACATATACCTCCTAATCCAAAGAGGAAAACACAATGTCCTTTTGTTACCCTGCTGTTTCCGCACTGCCTCACGCAGGCCTTTCCTGCCAGACAGTACACATTTAGAGACCGTAGTCTTTGCTGCCTTGGGGAAAGGGAAGCCACTGGCAAAATACAAAGAATACTGAAAATGTAAAAGGAGACGTGTTTTTTCTCCCTCTCATTCTGTTACCTTGGGCAGTTGTGTCTCTGGGAGAGTTCTAGGGTAAATATCACCATTAGTAAAATTTTATTTATTTTTACTCTTTAGGAATGAAAAATTAGCACTCTGTGATTATTGATCATCTTGTGAAATTCTAATGGAGAATTACAAATTTTTTACACTCTTATCAATGGTTATGTAGAAATAATTGAAGCCATTCAAATAAAGCAACACTGATTTTTTTTAAACTAAATTGGTCAAGGGATAAAATGACTGTTGTATTTTATTCCAGATTATGTACAAGATAATTGAAATGTCTGCTATAAAAACTGGAGTCTTCAATACACTGATAAGTTATTGCTGCAAATCTTGGATAGTTTGCACTTCAAATGTGTCCCAAGGATCTTTATCAAGTGCTAAAAATTATAGCGAACTTGTCCTTGAGGCTTGTATATTTGGAACTGTGTTTAGGCGTGACCAAAGGTAAAGGATGCCATTATTTCAACCTGTCATAACTTATTTTAACTACCTATTTGGGTAGAATTGTATCTTTATTTTGAGGCTTTCAATTAGAAGAATATAATGTATTAATTTTAAATTTGGGGTTTAATTTTTCTATCTAAAACCTGTTGTTCTTGGTCAATTTTTTTTTTTTAATGGGAAGACTCATTCAGGATGTACAGACCTTCATAGAAAATCTTGGACGTGATTGTGCAGCAAATGTTGTTATTGAAAAGTAAGTATGGGAGACTTTCCATGTCTTGATGGAAATATTTAAAATTTAACATCATATGAGAAATATTCTATATTTGTTAAATTTAAGTTTACTAGTGATAATCTAAGATAATGAGACTTCAAAAGTGTAATTTCTTCAAAAGAAATATTCCCTTGCTAATATGTTTTCTTCAAATTTGTCACTATTTACTAAAATTTGATAAACTTAAAAAACATTTTTAGTGCAAAGTCCAGCATAAAGAAGGAAATGACTGTGGAGAGCATAAAATCCATATCCCTCTTCTGTTTTCAGGTGGAGAGGTGATCATCAGCACACAGATCTTAATTATTTTTTTCTGCTAGCATTAACCATTTCACAAGTCAACATGCTACATACAAAAATAAAATTACTCTTGGGACAGGCACTAGAGTTTTGATATCTGGGTTAAGACTTTTAATCTAACCTCTGAATTAATTTTTTTGGAGATTGTCAAATAGCTTTTTTTAGTTTTATCTTTTTCACATAATTTTGAAAAATTTGTGTTTATAGATGTTTATGAAGAAGATAATAAAATAGTGTTATTATTCTTCACTGTGATTTTAGAGTTTAGAACAACAAATGATAATTGTGTATAGTTCTCCTCAAGTGTTACTACTCTGAGAGTGATTGCTATGTTTTAAATCATCTGCCACTCTTCATTAAGTAAACACATTTTTCATTGTTACTTGTTTCAATTGGTTTTTTGTTTTTTTGGCTGGTTTAGTGTAGCAAATAAAGTTGATGTCTATGGCTCCAAAATACTAGATTTCTACTAGTCAGAAGTTTTGTTAAATTAAAGTGAGATTTATTGACATTAGAACAGTTAAAATGAGCTTTGGCAATACTTAACAATTTTTCTCTGTTTATCTTTCCCCACTTAGATACTGAGGATGCTGGGAGCTTGGAGCACAAGGTGCTCCTGGTCTCTCCTTTGCTTGGAAAGAGTGCTTTTGTGGTACACAGTGAAGATGAGCCATTGAGGCATTTTACGCACTCTTTCCCCTGAGCAAAGAGTTTTCCATGGTCTTCCAGGAATAGTTTCATGAGCTCTTACCTGTTTTGTCTATAGTTAAGATACTGCTGACCCAGGCTCAGTAGTGTATACATTGTTTTCCCAGAAGTCTGGGTGTATTTGTGGTCACCCAGACTTCTGCACAGGCTCTTCTTTTGGTATATTCATTTGTTATCTTCTGCTAGTTTGAGTATGCAGTGACTTAATTTCAGAAAATGATGGAAGGTGTTTATATTTTAAAACTACTGTTGAGTGTGTTTTTCTGTTTTGAAAATGTGTTGACGTAGTCTATCATTTTATGTATTTTAGAACCAAAAGAGAGGACCATTATGTAAGAATTTGTGCTGTCAAGTTCCTGTGTTTATTAGATGGCTCAAATATGTCTCATAAGTTGTTTATGGAAGATCTTGCAATCAAGCTATTAGAGAAAGTAAATATGCCTTATTTTACTTTAAAAGTATCTTTGTTTTTGTATAGTTAGTAGGTCAAAATCCAACATTTGCTCTATTGACACAATATGTATTTGCAAATATTTTTTATCAGGAAAAAACATGAGGTCTGTGTTCCATATTTTTAGTTGAATCTTGGTTAGTGATTGCCCAACTCAAAAGTTTGGTTTCGCGAACAGTAATATTTTCCCTATACCATCTAAACTTCACTCTGTGTAAACAGTTATGTTTAGAATGATACATCCATACATTCTTTTATATAAGAAATACAATAAAAAAGTAAAAATTTAGAAAATGGCATAATGTGAAGAACTGATTTTTTTCTGAACACTGGGTTAGTAAATCTGGAGAGAAGAAAGTGGTAAAGTCAAATATACTGCTCACTTCTGACCTTGAAGCCAAGATGAATAGGTGCTTGGTCTGCTTTCTGACCTCTGATTTGGACACCGGGTTATAACTGATGACAAAGAACCATTGAAGTCATCTGCACTGAAATAGTGCTGTTCATCGGGCATTTGTTTTCTGAAGGTAGCAGCCAGCTTTAGTTATATAAAACCTAGAAAGTATGTTTTACGTAAAAATTCCCTCCTTTGCACTGTTGGAGTCAGGGAGTGTTTTACAAATTTCCTGGAGGGTGAGAAGAATTTAAAGGTGCAGGATACACATCAGAACACAGATCTATAGTATAATGTGCACTGATGTGTAGCATAAAATATAACGGTGCTCTGAAGAGAAGTAGGCTGAACAAGGAGGAGCAGATAGCCATTAGAAAAGAGGGCTTTTCTCATAGGTGATGGGGCTGAACTCTGGGAGACTTGTCAGTAAGGGAGGAGAGTTCCAGGAGAGGGTGGGGTCTGGAAGCCAGATGAGGAAGGTGCTCTCTGGAGGGGTGGAGGAAATGAGGCTGTAGGGGGCCATTAGATTCTGCAAGGGGTATGGTGAGAATGAAAACCTAAATGGGAGGGGCCGAGAGAAACTGGTGTTGAGCACATGGAAACAGTGAGTGTAGGCTTTCTTGAGGATTTGCTCTGAAAGAGAAGGAATAGATGGGGTGGTGTCTGGAGGGAGACATGGGTTAAAGGGCTTTTAAAGAAGGGAGATAGAGCTTGTCTGTCAGCTGAAGGAAATGATCCAGTGGGAGGAGAAAATGACAAAAATGGAGAGACCAGAAGTCACATAGGCAAAATCCTGGCCTAGCCCCTTCACATTCACTTGGATGACTATTAAAAACAAACTGACCAGAACAAGTGTTGGTGAACCTTGAGAACTTAAGCCAGCTGAAAGAAATGGTCATAAAGGACTATGTGTTGTAACATTCCATTTATATGAAATGTCCAGGAGAGGCAAATCCATAGAGACAAAGAATAGTTAGTCGTTGCCAGGAGCTAGGAATAGGACTGATCAGGAAGTGATTGCTGACAGGCATAGGATTTCTTTTTGGGGTATGAAAATGTTGAATTAGTGGTGATTGCACAACTCTTCATATACCAAAACCCACTGAATTGAATGCTTTAAAATGGTGATGTTCATGGCTCATGAATTACATGTTTTTTTAAAAAACCCTAGAATAGGGCTCTAAGGTCCAATAATCTTTATTTAGGAGATGAAAAAGCAAAGACAGAGAAGTTACATATTAGAAAGTTGCTCAGACCAAGAGTTTGTTTTTGAAGATCAGGAGAATTTGAGCAGGGCAAGTAACAAATGAAAAAGGGAATTTGCAGATAAAGAAAAATAGAAGAATAATCCTAGAGAAAGTGGAAAAAGATTGTATCCAGAGCAGAGTGGGCAGGTTAACGATTGTCAGAAGTAACCCCTCAGCCTCAGAGCTGAGAGACAGGAGCGTGGCAGTGAGTTTGTATAAAGGAGAGCAGCCTGAAGGCGTTCTTGACAGAGACATGATTTTTCTGAGTTGGGAGGCAGGCTCATTTCTAGATTGAAGAGTCAGGAATGCAGTCGGGATTTGGAAACCAAGGTGAAGGGTTAAATTGTAGCAATGGTCTGAGAATGAAATATCTGTAACATTGCTCTTTCCCACTGAAGTGCAGCAGCGACAGAGAGGGTACTCACTGCTGTGTCACTGGCTCCTGTGTTAGATACTCAGTTTTGAGTGAATGAATAAGTAAACTGACGATGGAGCAAAGGGAAGAGGCCACGAGTTGCAAGGAGATGTTACAGGGTTGTCTGGAGCCGTGGAAATTCTGCTTTGTGGAGATACTAAGAATGTGCAGGGCCCCCAGCCTGGCTTAGCCCTCAGTGTAGCCTGTCCCCTGGTGGGTGAGCAGCTGCCTGGGCAAGCGGCCTTTGATTCTTTTCAAAAACTCTTCCAAGTTTTAGACTTTATCGAGGTCCATGAGGGTAGTATTTTGTTTGCTTTTTATTGAAAGCTTTCGAACATTTTGTAAATGCTTTCCAAGTTACCAATTCATGGTCCAGCCTAACCATTATCAACGTTGGACAGTCTTGTTTAGTTTCTCCCTGACGTTGATTTGCCCCAACACACATTATTTTTTTAAATATATATATTTTTTTATTAAGCTATCATTGCTATACACTCTTATGAAGGTTTCACAAGAAAAACAATGTGGTTACTACATTCACCTTATTATCGAGACCCCTCCCATACCCCCGTGCAGTCACTTCATCAGTGTAATAAGATGCCACAGATTCATTATTTGTCTTCTCTGTGCTACACTGTCTTCTCCATGACCCCACACATACCATGTGCACTAATCATGATACCACACAATCCCCTTCTCCTTCCTCCCCACCCACCCTCCCCCACCCCTCGCCTTTGGTAACCACTAGTCCCTTCTTGGAGTCTGTGAGTCTGGAGTTCCTTCAGTTTTGTTTCGTTGTTATACTCCACAAATGAGGGAAATCATTTGGTATTTGTCTTTATCTGCACAAATGAGGGAAATCATTTGGTATTTGACTTACTTCACTGAGCATAATACCTTCTAGCTCCATCCATACTGTTGCAAATGGTAGGATTTGTTTCTTTCTTATGGCTGAATAGTATTCCATTACTAACACACATTATTTTGAAGCAAATCCCAGATGTCATTTTTGTTCGTAAATGTTTCAGTGTGTATCTCAGAAACTTTTAGCGTAACTACAATACCATTTTCACACCTGAATTACTTAATGTTATCAAATAGCCAATGCTTAAATATAACTCATTGTTTTACATTTCTTACATAGTTTTTTCATTTGAAATATGACTCAAATAAGGTCCACACACCAAAGACTTGAGATGTCTCCAACATCTCTAATCTACAGGTTCCTCTCTTTTTTTTTTAAACTTGAAAGTATGTTTTGAAGAAAGCAGATTGTATTTCTCCTTTAGAGACTTCCTTAGTCTGGATTTTACTTTTTGAGTTTCCATGGTGTCTTTTAATATGTTTCTCTGACCTCCTATTTTCTATAAGATAGTATTTAGATCTAGAGCCATGATCATATTTAGGTTTGGTTTTTTGGGGGGAAACAGGATGTACACCCATCAGGAAGCAGATAGTACCTGACTGTCTCCTCTTGTGGTGTTAGTCATTAATGAATTGCCTAGCTCCATTAATTTTCTAGGGGTTGCAAAATGGTGATACTCTAATCCTGTTATTTCTTTTTTTAAAAATTTTTTATTAAGGTATGATTGATATATACTCTTATGAAGGTTTCACATGAAAAAACCAATGTGGTTACTACATTTACCCATATTATCAAGTCCCCACCCATATCCCAATGCAGTCACTGTCCATCAGTGCAGCAAGATGCCACAGATCCACTATGTGCCTTCTCTGTGCTACACTGTTCTCCCTGTGATCCCCCACACCATGTGTACTAAACATAATACCCCTCAATCTCCTTCTCCCTCCCTTCCCACCCGCCCTCCCACACCCCTCCCCTTTGGTAACAACTAGTTCATTCTTGGAGTCTCTGAGTCTGCTGCCATTTTGTTCCTTCAGTTTTGCTTCATTGTTACACTCCACAAATGAGGGAAATCATTTGGTGCTTGTCTTTCTCCGCCTGGCTTATTTCACTGAGCATAACATTCTCCAGCTCCATCCATGTTGTTGCAAATGGTAGGATTTGTTTCTTTCTTATGGCTGAATAGTATTCCCTTGTGTATATGTACCACTTCTTCTTTATCCATTCATCTACTGATGGACACTTAGGTTGCTTCCATATCTTGGCTATTGTA